TATATATATATCTCAATGTCTTCTGGCTGGTCCAATGCTCTGAAGGGTCCTTCCTCCTCTTCTGCCTGGTAGCTGGTCCTTACTGCTGCATTGAACGGCAATCATGTAATGACGTGCAGTAACACTCTAAGCCCAGGCTACATGATGACACAAGCAGGTCTATAAACAGCCCGGGGGGTGGCTGTATGATACTCTAAGCCCAGGCTACATGACACTGCCCCATGAGGTGGGTGTATGATGACCTAAGCCTAGGCTACATGATGTCACTGCCCCATGAGGCGGGCCTATAACAGCCTGGGGGTGGGTGTAATTATGAACTAAGCCTTGGCAATATGATGACCTTGCCCCATGAGGCGGGTCTATAACAGTCTGGGGGTGGGTGTAATTATGAACTAAGCCTTGGCAATATGATGACCTTGCCCCATGAGGCGGGTCTATAACAGTCTGGGGGTGGGTGTAATTATGAACTAAGCCTTGGCAATATGATGACCTTGCCCCATGAGGCGGGTCTATAACAGTCTGGGGTCGGCTGTATGATGACCTAAGCCTAGGCTACATGATTATTATTATACAGGATTTATATAGCGCCAATAGTTTGCACAGCGCTTTACAATATAAGGAAGACATTACAGTCACAATACAATTTAAGACAAGATGGTAAGGAGGGCCCTGCCCGTGAGGGCTTACAGTCTAAAATGTACAATCTACATGATGACATTTCCCCATGAGGCAGACCTGTAACAGCCTGGGGGTGGCTGTATGATGACCTAAGCCTAGGCTACATTATGACACTGCCCCATGAGGCGGGTCTATAACCTTCTGGGGGCGGGTGTATAATACTGTAAGCCTATGCTACATGATGACACTGCCCCATGAGGCGGGCCTATAACAGCCTGGGGGTGGCTGTATGATGACCAAAGCCTAGGCTACATGATGACATTTCCCCATGAGGCAGACCTGTAACAGCCTGGGGGCAGGTGTATGAAACCCTTCGGTTAGAGGATATGGGTTGAATAAAACTGTCCATTAATTATCCCATAAGACTGAGGAAATCTAGACTCAGAAAAGAAGTACTGTGGGGAACAGCTCTGGATTTATGGTGCAAAACATTATTTATTTGTTTTTTTATTATCTTTTAATGGACTGTTCTGCTTTAACAAAGAAACCTGAATGTACATCGGTCTTCTTTGTTTTCTCCAGCCACATGGGCCTGTATGTCCTATCCAGACATCAGTGCTCTCGTCCTTGATGCCTCCTTCGATGACCTGGTTCCTCTGGCCCTGAAAGTGATGCCAGAGAGCTGGCGTAAGTCATTATCTGTCTCATTCTCTTATTTCAATCTCTTTTATCTCTCTCTGGCTAATATTAAGACCTGGCTTTCTTTTATACAGGAGGTCTGGTAACCAGAACAGTCCGGAAGTATCTAAACCTGAACAATGCAGAGCAGCTGTGCAGGTACTAATTCTAAGTGTGTTTGTAAAGCCTGGTGATTGCCATCATTTCTCATGTCATTGCACATCAACTGCTGCATCACATCCTTGTATAGATTATCCAGTATGTAAGAGCATTGCTACTGCATTAAAGAAAATCAGCTGGCCCCTGAAAAGTCCCTCCTCCTTGTGATGTCAGAATGCGTCTTTGTTGAATAGTATTTTGTATGCAGGGCCAGATCTTGCAGACCCAGCTAGTTGCCGTCTGGGGTCTGTACTTCACCCATGCAGGCTTATGTTAAAGGAGAACTATGAGGTGAGTGTTTTTCGCTCACTTCATAGTTCTAGCCGACCTGTGACAATGAGACTGTCACAGGTCGGCTCAGTAGATCGGGAGGTGAGCGAACAGTTACCGGCGTTCGCTCGGCTCTCTGCCGTGACGGGAGGGGCTGGATTCCCCCCTCCCCGCTCCGATCCGCCAGCGCTGACTGGCGGAACGGGAGGGGGCGGGTACAGCTGGCTCTGCCTCTAGATAGGCAGAGCCAGCTGTCAGTCACGCAGCTGGGCGGATCCCGGCACAATTGTCGGGATCCGCTTCAGCTGCGGCGTCTCAGTATACCGCGAGCAGCAGCTTGCGGTATACTGCGGCGTCTCAGTACAGCTCGCGGTATACTGAGCCTAGGGTGAAGGGAGGACGCTAGTTTGTGTCCTACCGTTACCCTAAGGAGAACTATGGGGAAAAGCCTTAACCCCATACTTCTCCTCCTTTTTAATGTGCCCTCTCCCCAGCAGCACATGCTTGCTCCTGCTTTGCTCTCCCATTCAGTGCTGGGAGTGAGGAGAAGCCATCCTCTGTAAGCTTGAGTCTTTCCAGTTGAAGCTTAGACAGGGCTGAGAACACCCTCCCTATGACAGCGCTGGGCCAATCATCAAGCACCAGTGCTGCCACATTCTTCTATATACCCAGAAGTATTGGTGATTAGCCCAGTGCTGTCATATTGGGAGTGACAAAAGACACCCTTGTATAAGCTCAAGTTATATTTCCACTTGGAGCTCACACAGGGCTGGCACCCTACTTTCATGTGGCAGCTCTGGGACAATCACAAAGGGTAAGTCGCATGCTACTCCATTTTTGGATTGTAAGCCCTCATGGGCAGGGCCCTCCTTACCATCTTGTCTTGATTGTAATGTCTTCCTTATATTGTAAAGCGCTGCGCAAACTGTTGGCGCTCTATAAATCCTGTATAATAATATTAAGAAGTACCTGATATTTTCTTCACTTCAGGCTGCTGAAATGAAAGGGAGGTTTTAATGTGAACCTGTTGCGTTGCCCTATGCTCTCATTATTCTGCTCGTCAGAGGTTGCTGTCTTGCACATTGTTATTGATGGCTCTGTGTCTTCTTTCTCTGCAAGGTATCCGGGTCCTGTCCTGCTGATCAGGAGAACAAATGATGAAATTATCACAACCACGTAAGTATACGACACAGTTGTCAATATAAATGTGATTTCTAAATATGGCCTCCTAATTCACTGTCCTTCACAGAACCCCAGATGACATTGCATCGAACCGGGGAAATGAGCTCTTGCTCAGTATGCTGCAGAGCCGGTGAGTAAAAATTGTATTGGGATACAGCATCTATACCTTGAGACATTAGGAGCCTATCAAGTCAGAAATATGGGAGCTGCCTTGTTTGTTGAAGGCACTCCTTCCAGCACTGTCCTGCACAGCTTGGTCAATTGCTGACCTGGTGCAAGCATGCAGACAGTATGGAATCCCTGACACATGCGTGTTTTGGGTTATTAAATAACTAACTATTAAAGCAAGCATAAAAATGACTGACTGCATCACACTATACAGTTCTAATACAAGTTAGTACTGGTAGTTCCCCACATTTCTACCCTTGAATGTTTTTTTTAAATGATACATTAAATTGACATAGAAACACGAGAGCAGGCGTCACTAAATGGCGAACCACAATCTGGGCTCGGACCAAGTGGCGATTCTGTCCAAACCGCAATTGCCAACCTGCACTGGGTTATGGCTGGCTGACAGTGAATACACCGGCCTCCAAGGCTGGTGCATGCACTGCCAGCAATAACCTTGCGCAGCCCTCCCACTGCACTTCATTCATTAGTTGCTAGGACCCCTGGTGTCCTGGCAAACAATGATGTCAGGGAGGCAGGGCCAGCTTGTCAACTACAAGTGATCTGGGCGGCTGAACTGCCACCCAGATCACCTATACTAGCCTGTGATGGTGCGGTGTGGGCTACAAAGACAAGAAATTGTCCCAGTAGACAAATGCTAGTTATTCAGTGTATCATCAATGCCCTGTAAAGGTTGCGAGTACCTTCCATGAAGTTCCCTCTACAATTTGATGGCAATAAACTCTGGGAATTTAATCTTTCTGTTTGATGACACTCTCATAGTCTTTGTTTTTCTAATTTGTCTTCATATTCTCAGTTATCCCAATGTGATGACAGAAGAGGGACGGAATGCGGCGAAGATGTGGCTTGCAGCTGCCACTCCAGAACAAGAAGGTAAGTGTCCATCTTGTATGGTCACCTTTTATATGTAGCTGGTCCTGTATAGATTAGGAAAGGGCATTCTGTCAGGGCTTTACTGCCATGTGGATTCATGTTCAGAAGTCTGTCTTTTAGCTGATGACACAATCGTGTGTAATAGGCAGGACATTTATTTGGAGCATAATTTGGCATTGCTTGAAGATTGGTCAAAGCAGTGAAGACTGCAGTTCAGTGCAAAATAATGCACTTGGGGAAAAGAATCCTCTGGTGGAGGAATCAAAAGGCAGGAGGAAGGAGATCCTGATTCTTCTATATAGATATTTAGTTATCACTAGAGGGGTCTCCATCAGGAGAAAGGAGGTCCTGATTCCTCTATATAGATATTTAGTTATCACTAGAGGGATCTCCATCAGGAGAAAGCAGGTCCTGATTCCTCTATATAGATATTTAGTTATCACTAGAGGGGTCTCCATCAGGAGGAAGGAGGTCCTGATTCATCTATATAGATCTTGTGTAGAATACTGTGTCCATTCCTGGATACATCACAAAATATATTGATAAAGACCGAATGGGTCCAGGGACAGGTACAAATGATAAAGGGTCTTGGGGGATATAACATATTAGGAGAGACTACAGGAACCTCTTTTGTGCAACCTTGAGAAAGGGAGGGAAATTGGAAACACAACTGAAACCTTCCAATACATTAAGGGTGTGAATAAATACAGCTGAATTGTTTCAGAAATGCCTTTTCTCTGCCTATCATGTTAATCTTTGAGGTCATGAATCACTAACCCACAACAAGCGGGCATTTTGGGTGATCAGGCTTTACTAGCTGCGTACTAATTATAGCTCACTGGCTCACAAAGCAGGGATACCGGTGTAAAGACTTGCCACCCGGCTTCCTTATTAGCAGGGAAGCCGTCCCCATGCTTCTCGTCACAGGTGACGAGAAAGCATGGGGCCGGCTTTCTTGCCAATCAGGAAGCCGGGCACTGTGTAATGACGTGGCGCCCAGCTTCCTGATTGGCCGGGAAGCCGTCTCCATGCTCCCTCGGCATGAGGTGACGAGAGAGCATGGAGCCGGCTTCCCGGCCAATCAGGAAATCGGGCAGCATGTAATGACGTGCTGCCCGGCTTCCTGATACCGGAAGTATCGGGCCAGGCATCGGAGCATTTGGGCGAGTACGAGTACTCACCCTAATACTCGGCATCGGCACCAATACTAGTATCGGTGCATCCCTAGTTTTCTCATTTACGGGTTCACTTTAACCTTTTTTGTTTTCTTCACACAGCCTCAGTATTCAGCCATTATGGAGTAGAAGAGGATTGGTGTCTGTCTGTCCTTCAGTCATATAAGGCAGAGAACTCGGCACAATTTCCATGGTCTGTAGGTGAGTCCTAACCACCGGCTTTATTACCGAGCTTAAAGTATCACTCCAGATGTCAATAAGTGATCATCTGGCCATCCGGCGACATCATGGATCCTTCCTATTGTCTGGTGCTGTGCAGTCCTTTCTTTTGGACTTGGTGGCTACAGTAGTACTTTAAGCCCACGCTGCACAATCATGCCCCCCTAGTGTCCTGAGTCTATGACAGCCTGGGTATAGAGGAAGTGGAAATGATGCAGCCTATAAGACTAGTAGCACTGGTAGTGAAGATGCACTTTTCATTTTTACTTTAGCTGGACTGTTTGTTTTTTGATTTTTTTTTACTGCTTTAAGTAAAGCAAGCACGGGATGGCCAGAAGGATAAGTTATTGTAACTCTGCAGGAGGAGTTCTAGGAGGAAGCATTATTTATTTCCAGTATTAGATAATGCATTGTAATGGGATATTTAACAGAAGGCACCCCTGAACTCCTCATTCAATCTGATAACTAGCTGGTTACTGGGGGGAGCTGTGCGCTGGCTATGACAAGCTTGGTGGCAGTTAGGACCACAACCTTCAGGAAGTTCTGATTCCGCCGCCTGGATTAAGTCATAAAGGGGACCCCGCTATGGAGAACATTGTCAAACGTTTTTAGCGTCATGAACAGAGATCAGACTTGTGTGCCTCAGATACAAAGGTTGCAATAACCCCCATTCCTGAAATAATAATACATTTCAGACCAGGCCATGGCCATAGAAATAACATTTTATTAACGCCATTCTCTTCTCATAGTTATCACAAAACAAACAAGGGTTCTGGCCTGTTGCAGGCATGTCTCCCATGCGCATTCCCCATTAAATCTTGGCGGGGCTTTGCTAACCAAGAGCACCTTAGTCCTCTATATAATGGCAGCTGAGGATTAGGGCAACTCAGACCTTCCATCACAGCCATTGTGATCGAATCATACCATGTCTCATTATTATTATTATACAGGATTTATATAGTGCCAATAGTTTGCACCGCGCTTTACAATACACTGCAATACGGTTTATTTTCCCTGTTTAAGGGACCCTGTACCTAATAACTACAACAGCATCCAATGAAATATTGCTTAGTGTTATTGATACGATGTCTTTGTTTTCTTTAGGAGAAGAGATGAGCGTAGAAGGAAGACAGCAGCTGGCTCTGTATCTTGTATGTATTAATCGTCACTCTTCTGTCTGTAATCACATTCCAGTGTTCTACCTCCTGGCTTTTCATACTCTGCAGCCTCGTCTCATCTAACAGTCCTTACTATACATTGTATCTCTTGTATCTCTGTGCCTGAAATGTATCATAGACATCGAGCTGTCAAAACGAATAGCAGAGAGGTGACTCGCTCTGCTGCCTCTCTGCTATTTTCAGCTGTCAAAGACGGGATTGCTATATAGCGACCGGTATTTGTATGTAACGGCTTCATTCTTTCATTAATGAAAGAAAAAAGCTTTTACAAAAGATCAATACTGAGACATTCATTAATGACTGTTAACCACTGAGAATCAGCGGTTACCAGCATTACAAAGCCTTAACTCGTCACGTACAGTGTAAGTGGCCAGTCATATAGGCACTTTGTAACGGGACGTACAGTGTACGTCTCCCGTCACGAAGGGGTTAAAGTGGAATGCCCAGCACACTCTTCTAGACTTAAAGGTGGTGTCCCCAAACCAGGGGAGAGGCAACCTTGACACACCGGCTGTGCTGAAACTACAAAATCCATCATTGCTCTTCCTCTGGAAGTAATGCCTGTGGCTGTCAGTCTTGCAATGCCTCATGGGACTTGTAGTTCAACAGTTGGAGTGCCGAGGTTGCCTAACCCTCCCAAAGCGTTGGCCGCATAGTGTAGTATAATGTGTAATCTTATGTTGGTTTTCTTTTTATAACCAGCTTTCCTCTCTCTCTCCTCAGGCACAAAAACATCTGAGAAGCTTTGAAGCAACGCACTGTACCCCCCTCCCCGCTAGCGCCTTCCACATGCCCTGGACAGTATAATACCCTAGGAGCCTCTATACCATCCGCACACTTTGATGTCTCTGGATTACACCCAGTCGTTCTCCTAATACCATTCTCCGCTCCTCGTGAACGGCAGCTAACACCAATGAAATAAAAATGGCCGCCTCTCCACCCAACTGTCATACCTCCTTGGACGGTTTTCTTTTTTTTTGTCTTATTTTTAACCAATGGACTTGTTGAGCAGGAAAGGGTGTAATAACGCCCTGCGATCATTTCAAAAGCCGCTATTAAATGTGAATACTGCTTGTATAATTTTAGTTTTGTCACTGTCATGGCATGGAGCTAAACCACGGGCTTTTCCTCAGCGCCTACATGGATGCCATGCCGCTATTTTTAGTTGAATTCTACTTTTAGAAATGAAATACGGGCAAATGCTGCAATGAAATGCCGGTAATATGCACTAGGATCTGTTATGTGTTATCGTACTGTTTGTTTCCAGAAGCTGTGATCCAGCTCTCCATTGGGGTCTGTGCAAGCTTTGTGTATGTTCTTCCTTAACCATTTCCTGTTTGCTTGTAGCTGTGTGACCAGCCTGTACTGTTCTAATGGGTCAGGAAGTTCTAAAATGCAGCAGCTCGCTCAGCGGAGCTAACGCTCTACACAGCCACTCCCAAGCATGCCATTTGATTGATTGCACAAGATAGTTACTGAGTGAGGAACCTCCAGGAAGAATATAGACCGGGGAGGGGAAAAAAAGGCCAACACAAAATGCCCAAGTTGCTGTTCTGCCCTGACAGCAGACATGATTGGTCTTCCTGGCACAGCTAAGCTTTAGTATTGTGCAGCTAGCGACTTGTGTTCAGTGTTGGCCCCCAAACATCTAATTGACAAGAAAATTGAAAAAAAGAACTAGAGGTTCTCTTGATTGGATGCTTGCAGGGTCACCTCCACTCCCTTTCAGTAAATCGGGTCCATTTCACCACCTGTTACTTGGAAAACAATTGCTCTTAATGGGCATTTTAGCAAACTGCAGAGCAGGCAATGAACCCCTGTAAGCGTCAATAGGCAGCCTGCCCAGGATCCTCCCTCTGACGCCTCTGTCTGCAGGTGAGCTCAGTCATGGAATCACTCTACGAATACGCTCTATTGTAGAGTGAAGGGCCTCAGAGGGAAGTCCCCGGGCGGATTGGGCACCAATGCTTACTAAAGTTTTACATGGGACCGTAGCCTGGGGTGAAGTTCAGGAGTTTGTCAATGTTAATCTTTGAAGCCGAGATGAGCGGAGGAGCCGGCTTACACGTAGGATTGGGAGGAGCGGGGTTGTGGTCTCACTTTTGCTCTACATGGGCAGTTCCATCTATAAATTATTATTTATCCCATCGGAATGAATGAAACTTCCCAAGTAAAGGAAAGCACTAGAACCATTTCCTGTTTTCTTGTAGCTGTGTGACCAGCCTGTACTGTTCTAATGGGTCAGGAAGTTCTAAAGTGCAGCAGCTCACCTGGCGGAGCTAACGCTCTACACAGCCACTCCCAAGCATGCCATTGTTTGATGGAGAGATTGAGTGCACAAGATAGTTACTGAGTGAGGAACCTCCAGGAAGAGAGGGGAGTGGGGAAAAAAGGCCAACACAAAACGCACAAGTTGCTGTTCTGCCCTGAGAGCAGAATGAATGAAACTTCCTAAGTAAATGAAAGCACTAGGAGCCAATCAGGCAGTGGGCATAAGCTGGCTGGGAGAGAGAGCAGAGTGATGTCTCATTGCTGTGCTGCTGCTGCTCCTTTATTGTCCAATCAGTAAGGTGGTAGGTGAGTTCTAGTTCAGGCTGCGATGCTACTGCAGGACCCGGCTGTGCTATTAGGCAAGGACTGAAAACCATTGCATGCCTTTTGGCAGAATAAATATTTCTCCTATGTATGCATTTGACATTTCTATGTAGCTGTGTGCCTGGAACCTTGCTGTAGGGCTCATGCACATCATTGAATACATCTAGCTGGCAGAATGCTGCGCTCATAGGTTAGCAAGTAAGCTCCTCTTTGAACACAGATTTTTATTTTAGATGACAGATCAAATCGCCTCCATGCACATGGACAGAGTGGCTATGATAGAGATTAAAAGCAACATTTCTCTTCCGTTCATCGAACAACACAGCCCATCAGAAGATCTTGTCCATTGGGTTATATCGCCACGCTAGGCCAAAAAAAACGTTTCTGATGGCTGTGAATACAAAAATCCTCTTGTTTTGCATGAGCCCGTAGCTGGTTATTCAGTCGCTCCTCTATAGTTGCACAATCCTGCACGTTAGCCCTGTCACAGGAATGCTCCACAATAATGGCGTCTACGGTCTTGGCTGGGCTAGACTTTTAACGAAATGCACCTTTACAATGTTTAATACCTCTGTAGGATGAATGTCCTGGAAATGATCCCTCATCAGGTGCCCAGCCATCTGTTGTACCAATGGAGCCCCTTACATTCAGCATGTGTAGTAATGACTGTTAGTGTTCCATGTTTATTGTCTCCGCTCTTTAATGGCCAGTACAGACGAGAGGGCGGAAGAAAGCAATGAAAAGAAATGTCTAGCTCCGCACACAAGTTTGTTTGTCATGTCGGAAGGCACGGAGCGAGCAGAAGTGCGCAGTAACCTATAGCGGCCATTTCACCCTTCGGTCACAATGCCGAAATTCTGATTGGTTGCTTCGGGAGCTGCACTTTACTGCCTTGCATCATCACAGCTTCCATTTCACATGCGTCTGACATTCCATTATGTGATATGGGAGTTTCAGCTTTGACTCTTTCGGTAAACTCCTGTGCATGTTGTCATTGTTTGGTGGTTATAGATTATTTTTAATAAATTCCTAGCTGTTCTTTCCACTACAAGACTCGTGTGTGTTGGATATGGAGGATGGGGTGCAGCATGCAGGCTCGGGTATACTTTGCCCTATTTTGTCAGCAGTCCTGTACTGGGATAGAAGATATATCTTCTTCCTCTCCGGGTGATGTTGGGGGGAGGGGGGAGCAGGGATGTTTCTGCCAGTAAAGCCCCAAGCAGCCTTGATGTGCCTTCTCAGGCTCTGCAGGTCCCACTCTGCTGAAAAACACAGGCAGCCAATGGCGGTGCTGCACTCCCTCCCAGCCAATAGCAGCTGAGGGGGGCAGAGGATTGAGGATGATACAGGTGGTTGGCAACTGCCGAGAAGCCTAGATCTAGATAGACAGAGATCAGCCAATCAGAAGTCTTCCAGTATTATTACAGTAGATCCAGTTAGTTGTGGGTTACTTTGCACTCATAACAGCAATGGGGGGGCCTCATTCGAGATCACCTTGTGATGTACAGTGTGGTGTCTGCAAGTACCTGCGTTATCATTCAAATCTATTCCTGTGCCCCTGATGAGCACTTTGGGTCCTAGATTCAGGTTGCACACTGAGTGGCCAGATTATTATGACCACCTGACGTTTGTAGGCAAATTAGCTATAATTTTGCGCTGAAGTTGCTAGAGGGCCAGACCATGATAAATAGGGAAGCAGGTTGTTTACCACGACAGTAGAAGTGATTTTTTTCGGAAGATACGGGTAAACAACGCGATTTGACAGCCTTTGAACGTGGGATGATTGTTGGCGCTCGGAGCCATGGAGCGAGTATCAGCAAAACAGCAGAATTCGTTAAATGTTCAAGAGCAGCTGTTGTTAAAGTGTTTAAAGACTGGACTGTCAGCCGAAAATCTGGGTCTGAACGTGCGAACTGTGGCCGTCAGCGACTAGTCAATGTTAGGGCAGAACGGAGAGTGGCAAGACTGGTACAAGACAACAGAAGGGCAACAGTGCCGTGTCAGATTCCTCGCATCACCTTTCAACATCTCGTGGAGTCACGAGGCGGCCCAACAAAGTACTGATGGGGTGGTCATAATAATCTGGCCACTCAGTGTATATGGGGTCATGGCTTCTGCCCAAGAAAGATAAAACCTCACCTCATAGCTCTAAATTTGTCTCCCTGTGATTCAACTTTTTTGGCAGTAGAATGACGGGGTGGCTTAAGTGTTGGGGTAGGGTAGAGGTAGGTGACCTTGGCACTCCAGCTTGTGCAAAATTGCAAATCCCATCATGCTTCTGGAAGCCATGTCTATGGCTACCAGAGTCATTTAATTACTCGTGGGAAAAACAAAGTCAAAGCAATGAAGCGCCGCAAAAAGACAATCCCTCCTCACTGGGAAATCCTTACAAGCACACTGCAGGATGCTGCCCCCCAAAAAAGCCGGGAAAGCTGTGGAATCTGGGAAAAGAAAACGGGGCGCCTTTCCTGGTGCAGATCAACTTTATTTTCAATGATCATAAATAAACCGAAAGATACTCGCAAACCTAGATAAAAAAAACAGCCATGTATTGTAAGCTGACAGCAGATGGACATCCACTGAGGGGATCCAGTGTGCAGGTGACGTTGACGCGTTTCCGGGGCACGCCCCCATCGTCAGTTCTGACTGTTTTTTTATCTATGTTTGTGAGTATCTTTCGGTTTATTTATGATCATTGAAAATAAAGTTGATCTGCACCAGGAAAGGCGCCCCCTCTGTTTTCTTTTCCCTAATTCCTCGTGGGGGTTGTAGTTCCACAACAGCTGCTGAGGCTACCTACCTCTAGGGTAGGGTTTTACGTATATGTGCACTTTAAAACAAAATCCACTCCTGGCCCAAACTAATTCACGCTCCCCCTCCACAGATCTGTACTTACCAAGATCTGACAAACATGGCTTCAGTTGTTTATATCCAGCATTACAATGCTCCCTCTGCTGGCCACACCTGCACATTACAGTCCAATAGACATCTAATGGGGCAGTCTCCCGCGTGGCCAGGAGAGGGAGACTTGCGGCACTAGATGTCGACAAACAGAAGAGCTGCAGCCCTCAAATCTTGGTAAATAAAGATCTGTGGAGGGCAAGATTGTTTGGGTCAGGAGAGGAAGGCAAAAAAAATAAGCGCACTTTGTGTAATCTCAACTTCTCAACAGGTTACTGGAGTTCAGTTTATTACTGTAAACCAGTCTTGGCCTTAAGGCCTGGTTCACACCTGGGCGTTTTACAGCGCTGATTAAAACGCTGTAAAACACTCAAACAGTCAAGTCCCATTATGTTCTATGGGCATGGATCCCACATCCGGCGGGACTGTGTATAACGCGTTTCAAGGGCACTGCTTCTTCCT